AGTGGGGAGAGGGCTGGGGTGGGGGGCCGGGCGGGGGGGCTTCTGTGGGGGGACAGGATGGGATGGTTGGAGGTCCGGTTTTGGGGGGGGTCAGATGAGACGAGCTCGTTTGTGGCGGGTGGCAGCAGCCCTGCTTCTCTGGGAGAGGAGGAGGGGTCGCAGGTTAAGCGGAGGGCTGGGTTCGTGTCTGACAGAAGCCCGGAGGGGAGCAGGCAGAGCGGGGCGCTCTGGGGGGGGCGGCTCCGGGGGGGCGGCTGCCCGTGGCCCTCTGTGGGCCGCTGGGGGCTGCTGACCACTCTCCCTTCACCGGAAATGAAACCCCAACTGTGGCGGGTGTCTCCAGGAGGGGGGGGCTCCTCCTCATCCAGATCAATGGAGGACGTCAGATAGTCGATCTGCTGCACCACCTAAAAAACACAAATACCGTGATTAATTACCGGAGGGTTTAAGGAGTTAACCCCAACACACTCAAATAAATCCCCATAAAAGGCTTTATTTATGCTGCGCTACACTTTTAAAATCGAAGTTTGCAAATGAAACATGTCGGTTCACGACGGCTAACTTCTAAAAATGTGGGAATGAAGCCAGTAAAGCCTCAAATACGTTCTTTGATTAAAAACATTTGTGTCAAGTGGACCTTGCAAGAAAGTCAAATACTGGCAGAGTAAATCTGCTGGAGGTTCCCTGATGTAAAACTTTGGCTGTTTGGTCCTGATTTCTCTGGTTGTTTCTATTTTTCAGCAGCCATTCAGAAACCAAACGCTGAAAACGTTTAAACTTGTGAAAGCTAAGGTGAGTAGCCATGACAGGAAGCTGGAATTAAACTGAACAGTTGAGTGGATACGTGTCCCAGGCTCCTCCCCGTTTCTCTCCGCTGTGCTTCAGCTTATCTTCCAAAGCCCCTTCCTTTGGAATAAGTATCCAGGCAACACACCACAGCAACCCAGGACTGCACAGTAATCCAAGTCCAGCTTGTCCACATTGATTGTTTTCTCTCTGGCCGAGTGGATTTTTACAAATCACTTTGGAGGGACTAGCAGCAGCCTGAAATCTCACAGATTTTCTAAACTCCTATTCTACTTAAAGCATGAAAAAGGCTACAAAAATTGTCCTTCAACTTTGGATAAACTTCGATTTTGATGTTTTGAACATAGATCATTTTCACAAAGTTTATCTAAAAAAATGTTTTCTTGATAAATATGAATGATACACATTTAAAACGTCAGACAATTTCTGACATAAGGATCTTGGGTTAGTTGAGTTCTGTTTATCCTGAGAGTGGGGTGGAGAATGGATGGAGTTTCCGGGTTCTCAGAATGAGAATAATCGTGACAAAAAATGATGACGCAGCTTTTCTCCAAATAACAAAGCTAATCACTGGAGTAACGACCACTGTATTTGATTTTTTTGTCTCTGAAATGACTTCAAAGCAGAATTCAATATAATGAGAGATGACATAAAAAAGAGAGCTCTGTAAAAACTGATAATAATTAAAGTCGATGGACAACAGAGATCCTGTCACGGTGCTCACAATCCGAATAGAACTCTGGCAAATTAGTCAAAGGCTGTCAGGATAAACATTGTAAAATGAATCTGTCAGTGTAATAAATGGGCATCGTGTCAAGACATTTGTTCTTGTACTTTTGCTGTTTAATGCATGCTGCTTGTGCTTCCTGCTGGTTCAACACCAAACCATACTATTGGGCGTATCACTTCTACAGAAAAATGTACTTTTATGCTTGAAATGATGGAGAAAAGTGTCCAAAGTGGCCAGCTGTTTGTATGCATTACCTTGAGAGGATGCCCTTCCGGTAAATGAAAAGAGAGGAACTGGACTGAGAACAGGCCTGTCCATTGTTTTTACATTTGACAGTAATTTTTCCTACAAATCGGACCTCCAAAGAGCAGATTATGTCGTGTTCATGTCAAACTGATGCAACATGTCGTACTTATTGCATCCTCTTTTTCTCCGTTATGGAGTTGATTTATCTGTTTGAGTTATCAGGTAATTTCAGGAAAAAAGGACCAATGATTATCCCAAAGATGAAAGGATTTCTGTTAGTCTTATTCACCTAAGCACTATACATTTGGGAATAAAATGGAATCACTCTGAAATCAGAGAAAGATTTGATCAACCAGCCGTCCCAATCTGAGACGTTTTTTATTAAGCAACAAATGAGCCTCTGGACAGAGATACCAGAAAAAATAAGCTCACTGTCAAGTGGCCATTTCTGCTCTTTACATTAATGATGTCCGAGAGCTCAGAAGTGTCGGGAACTGAGCAGAAAGAGAGAAAAGGCGACCCCCCCGCTGCTGCCTTATATTTCTATGATAAAGAGCTCCAACCTCTTGATCCAGGAGTTTTACTCCAGTATGGGACACTGACACAGAGCCAAAGCTTCTGTATGCTGGTAGAAACATACCAAGTTGTGGTTATTATTTCAGAGGGTTTTCACATCTTTAAATATGTCACACAATGCAAGCAAGTTTAAATCAGCCGGGACAGAATGGGATTACTATTAGGGAAATATGTGGGCTAAATTTAGTCAGACCTGCATCTCCACACACTGCAATGCATCTTAGCTGATAGTAAAGTACACTATGTAATACATCAAACGTGGGCATGCGTGTCTGGATGCAGAGAGAGTGTGTGTGTGTGTGTGTGCGGTGGAAGGCAGAGACATGTCGTCCACATGCACACACACTCCCTCAGCCTCTGTCGGTATAATGACAGAGGCTGGAGAGATTGGAGGAAATGGCGCTGGGGAAAATGTTTGACCTAGCTGGCCACCTGCTCTGTGTGCACAGATAAATCCTCGGCCCATGCCGGATGAGTTTTGTCCTCTGTGCTCCGCAGCCTCTCTGCTGATGTCAACGGATGACCTGATTTATCTCCCTGTTTGCCCGCCGCCGCTGCTTTGAGTGAGGCGTCTCATGCTACTTTGAAGTGCTGCTCCTACACGCACACTAGTGAGTGAGCAGGTGCTGCCTGGTAATGTCAGGAATCAGAGCACATAAAAGAGCGGAGGACTCTTTCCAGGCTCTGCTCTCCAGGTTGTTTTTGTTAAAGGACAGCGTCTGCTGACCCCCCCGGTCCACACACGGGGGGGTTGAGGTGGCCAGCACCACTGGCTCACAGGTGGGGGGGGCTGAAGGGCTCTCCCTGTGTCCAGACATGTGTGTGTTTTGTCTCTAAATGTCTCCTGGGAGTGGATGTGGGTGTGTGTAGTTGTGTGTGTCTGCGTGGACGTGTGACCTGTCCCTCCGCTAGGACAGGCCGCGGGCCCCCGGGCCCCCGGGGGGAGGCGGCGGTACAGAGAAAGGCTGGATGTGTGTGCTCAGCTCAGTTGTTGCTCGGATTGATGTTGTGAGTCGCGGTGCTTTTGATCTGCTGAATATCGCTGTCGTATTTATGAGCGATCCTGCTTCTGGGTTTTTTCTCCTCCCGAATAAGAGCGTTGGTCCTTAGTGCGGCTGTTGTGTTTGTTTAAAATGTCTCAAGGAGTCAATCTCTCCCCTTTGTACAACAGGGGTTGATTATTAAATAAAATGGAGGGCTGATGCTCATGCAACAGAATTTTAAATGAGGCTATAAAATTTATATGTGACTTTTGCAATGCCTTATTTTCCTTATAAAGCGTGAAAATTGTGATTTTTTTGTTTTGCAGCCCATCCTCTTGTTTGTGATTCTGTCGGTTTTGTGCCCTTCCATCAGTTTTACATGAATACTGTCATCCAATGACCCCAGAGGAGAGGTGACCGGCCCGGCTTTAGTCCTGACCCCGCAGATTTAGAAGGGATGCCAACAGGCTAGATGTGCACGTCAGTTTTACTGGATGAGGCGGAATAGGAGGCAGAGACATAAATGGATTATAAAAAGCTCCGGACGGCATCCAGCTGTGCCCGGAGCAGCAGCTGTCCACCAGAGGGGGGAGTGGGGGGGAGGATGTGAGGGGGTGTCAGAGAGGGAAGCACTGGGGGAAAGGCTTTTCTCATGTCACACCAAATCATCCAAACAGACTCTGAACGCATCCGTAAATGGGGCAGAACTAGTGTCTGCTCCTTCTCTGTGGAAGTTCACGCACACGTTGTGCAGGCAGGCACTGGAAATGTTTTCAGGAACGGGAACAAACGACACGAGAATGCAGGAGGAACCGGAACAGACAACTGTTTTGGACTCATGTGCTGCTGAGCTGACTGTTTAAATCATGTTTAATTCTGCTGAGCATGTGTGTTTGTGGAGCGTCTCCTTATCTTACAGTGATTAAAGGCATCAAGGTTTTTTAGGACTTTCTACATAAAAAAAATCTGAAAATCAATGAATGTGGATGCATTACTCTCTTGTTATTTTTAAAATATTCTGTCCTGGAGGGCAGCTATGGATGACTGCATAGCTGATGTGACAGCTTTAGTCGTTTTTGAGCAGAAAGCGTAAGCGTTACCTCCTTCATCTCCTGCTGGACGTCCCGCAGGGCTTTGAGAACCTGCTCCAGGTTGTCCACCACGCGCTGGATCTGGTTCCGGACCAGCTTCCTGCTGCCGCCTGCCTCCGCCTCCTGGGACTGGCGCCGGCCGCTGGGCCGGTCCTGCACCCACGTCTGGTCCTGACCCGGGAGGGAGATCCTGTCCGAGGTGGGCCTGGCCCTCCTGGGCCCCCGTACGGTGGTGGTGAACCCTAAGCCTGTGTGAGGGGCCGGGGTGGAGAACAGGAGCCCGTTGCAGCGCTCCACAGGTGTGTCCCCCACAGCGCGGAGGTCTCTCTGGCTCTGGGCGCTCCACAGGTGTGTGTGGATGTGGCTGAGCCCCTGCGGCCCCCCCGGGGGCCCCTGAGAGTCGGGGCCCAGCCAGCTGGAGGCGTGGCGGTCCCTGTGGCGGAGCGTGGTGCGGCTGCTGTAGTCCCCCCCCCTCCGCTTCTGCCCCTCCATCAGCAGCACCACCGGGCCCTGCTCCGGCCCCTCTGTGGGCGGCGGACAGACGGGGGTGGGGGGGGGCCCCACCAGAGGCCCCACCAGGGGCCCGTATTTCCTCCCGGAGGGGCCCGTCCCGTCGTCCTGTGGCTGCTGACCGGGCTTCCTCCCACCTGTGTGGTGGTCCTGGCTCCGGCTGGAGTTAGAGTCCGGCTCTTTGGTCTGGTTCCAGCGGGGGGGGGCGTCCTCCCTCTGCTTCCCCAGACCCCCCGGCAGGAGGTGGTGCCCCCGCAGCACCACCGGCAGCATCCCCAGCCCGTTGTAGCGGAGCTCGCCCTTCTTGGCCCTGTCCCTCCCCGGGATGGAGAAGAGGCCCATCCCCCTGGCTCTCTCCGGGGGGGCCAGGCCGCTGCGGGGCTCTGGGGGGGCTTTGTACGCTCCGTTGAGCCCCAGGTCCCCGGCGCTGTGCTGCGCCTTCAGACTGTTGCGCAGCCAGGGGATGAAGTGGGGGGTGTGGGGCTTGAAGCCCTTGGGCTCCCCGGGCGCCGTGGCCCCCCCGTCGGAGAACATGGTGCTGGCTCAGAGCAGGACGGGGCAGGAGAGGGACAGGAGGACTCCCGGGACCTCTTCTTCCAGCAGTCCCCCCCCGCCTCTGCCATTAACGCGGGGTTAGTCCAGTCTGGGTTCAGCCTCTGTCCCCCCCCCCTCTCATTCTCCTACTCTGGCTTCAAAACTTTCTTTCTCTTCTTCCCTCCTCAGCTCGGGTCCCACCCACTCCCCTCTGCCTGCCGAAGCCAGATCCTGATTTTATCGCCCTGCCTCTCTCTCTTCCTCCCTCCGCCCCGGGTTTCCCCCCCCCCGTCCTCCCCCCGGTCGAGCTCTGGGAGCCTCTCACCCCCTCACTGGGACGCTGTTGGAGATGGCACGGGCCCTATCCCTCCATCTTCCCTCTCTGGCTGTCTGCGTCTCACTGGCTCGGCGGAGGCTCCCTGCCTCTCCATCCCTCTCCCCCCTCCCTCACTGCACTGCGCTGCCTCCTGTCCTCGCTCTCTCTTCCTCCCACTCCCTCTCACTGCTCCAACTCCCTTTCTCTATTTCCCTCTTCTCCTCCCGTCTCCCTCTATGCTCTCTGCTCTTATCTGAGAAGCTCTTATCGGCTCCTCTTTTTCGAACTCTTTCCTTCTTTTGTCTTTCTCCCCCCCCACCTCTTCTTCGCTGTTTTTGTCCCTGCCGGTTCCACCTCCAATTTGCCCGGGAGAGCAGCTGAAGTTCAATCAAGAAGCCCGTATTATAATCTCCCCTCAGCCACGTGACTCCCCCTGCCTCTGTTCTCATCTGATTACTCCTCTCCCGGCTCAGCCCCTCACAATTAAGTGCTGCCCCGGACACCGGGGGGGGGGGGGGGGGGGGGGGGGGGGGGGGCGGGGGGGGGGGGGAAGGGGCCCACGGGGGGGGGGGGGGGGGGGGGGACGTTGGAGAGGATGGCAGCGGTGGGGGATAAAGGAGCCCTGGAAGGGGCAGATGATGGTGACCTACCGGATCAGAGATCAGCCGTAAGCCGCTCCCCCCAGATCACAACAGTCAGCAAACAGTCACGTCACATCTCTGTTTTTATTTTCTGACACACATCCAACTTCCATTTGTTCCAATTAAACGGAGACAGATGCTATTTTCGGGTTTCTCATTTACATTCCAATTCTTGGCTAACTGGATTAGATTTCTTGTGTCTGACAGGCTCAAAGATGCCTCCTAGGTGCTTTTTTTCCACCCAGCCGCTGCTGCATTGGTGGGCACCTCCCTCTCTGGCAGCATCTGAAATGAAAAAACCCCAGCCGAGCCACACAAAAGCCCTGACAGTCTGCCGTCACTCAGTGGTGAGGCACTCAAAGCATCTGTCATGCTGTTAGTCAGCCCAGCAAACTGCTCCTGTGCTACTAAACTGACACAATAGCACTTGATTTCCTGACAGCTATACATGGGAGGAGAGGAAATATAGACACGGGCTTGATGTGATCTGAACGATAAGAAGATTCCTGCTTCATGTCACAGAGGACTGTCGGAGCGTTGTGACCATTAGGATGGATTAAAAGAAAGAGCCAGTAGTAGTGGAGTTAATAGAGCAGCCACTCTTAATCCTTTAGAGCCTCTTGTTTCACAAAACATGGTACATCACACACAACCTGAATCTGTGCAACAGAGGGATGCTGGATTTACATTTAAACATTTATTTCAGAAAGTGATGTGAATCTATGGGAGTGCATGTGTAATAACCATTTCAAGCAGGGCTGTTCTTTGAAGTGATGGTTAATCATTTAAGTCCAAGTTTATCTGAGGCAAACAGTTGTAGAGAGATAAAGTGCAGCTCTGATGCTCATCACAGGTAAACACAAAGGCTGGAAATGAAGCCAGCCTCTCCCTTCATTAGTCGCAATTGTCTTAGTGATTGTGGGTCCTCCTCTATGGTCGCTTCTGCTTATTCTGATACTGTCTAATGGATATGAGGGAAGCATTTACAAAAAAGCCCCCCGATGTGGTCATTTTAATTCTTTTAATACACCCAACTCCCAAAATATAAGGATAGCCATTCATCTAAACATTATTACAGGTAAAACCTGTTCTCTTAGAATGCTTTACAACAATAAAAAGGCAGATATCTGGATGAAAAGCAACATCATTTTAATTTCCTGAAAACATCTGGAACAGCAGACCTGTCTGAGAAAGGGGAAAACCATTTGAACTCATTTCATATGAAGTATTAAAACCCCGTAAGATCGCAGACACAAGGAGATGTTGAAAGATGTAGAATATTAATGTTTGACTCCAGTGAATGTGCGGAAGACAATACATTCCTTCATGTTTTTAACTACAAAAGGAAGCGCTCATAAAATCTAATTATGACATATAAAAATTTTCTCTCTGATTGGCTCAATGATTTTATTGAAATGTTAAAAACTGAGTCAGCAAATCGAATCAAATAAAAACCAGAGTGCCGAGCGGTTTAGAACAGAAGGATTAAGTCAGTGCCATGGGGCCGTGGTCAAACCTTTTTGAGGGGAAACATGAAACAAGAGCAGAGGGATTACTGGGGCTGCTGTGCTTGGAGCTAGATACATTTTCACAAAAGTCACAAATAAAAAAAAAAGAACTGGGAAATTCAAGTTTTTCCTCACATTTCTTCAGACGTGTCTCAGAGCTTTCTTCATCTGGAGGAAGTGATGACTCTGACACTTATGATTAAAAGAACAAAAAGAATAAAATGATTATGGAGGCTGAGAGCTTTCTATTCCAGCATCACAGGTTTTTAATTGAATATGCTGCATCAGCTTTCATTTACTTCTCTTAGCAGCTCATTGTTCCCTCGGTACCGGCCGGTGGGCCTCACCGCTGGGGTGTGAGTAGCCCGGCTTTTTTCATTTTGTGCCCCATTCATTCAGGGAAAATGACAGACATACATGAGAGGAATGGTGTCAGTCTTCATATGAATTTAGCGGCGTATTTAATCAAAATCAAGAGCAGAACAGAGAGAAGTCCCTGCCCCCGTCTCCCCCAGGAGGACTGGCTCATCCTGCCCCGGTCAGCCGGAGCCGGGCTCAGAGTCTGCTCCTGATCCAGAGAAAAGACTCGGTTTTTCTCAGGTAAATGGTGGGAACAGGGTCCCCGATCCTGTTTGTTTGGTTGCCAAACCGAGCGGTGTATTGGTCATATTTGTAAAGCATGTCTGGAACAAATCTCTGGATTTAAGGTAAAGGCTTACAGAACCTGATCTCTGCTTTCACACTCCCAAACGTTCAGATGCAGTTCTGATTTTAGGCCCGTGGTACGTCTGCTATCACAGAAAAGACACAATCGCATTTAAACACGCTGAATTGTGTTCGATTGCAAATTCTTCTGCAATTTGATTGGTTTAAATCTTTATTTAACAGACAAGGCAGTGGGGTGGGGAAAAAAAACTTGTTCCATATAAATGGACTGAAAATTGTTTCTCACAAAGTTGATCCACAGAAAGATTCTGCTTTTGGCTGTTTCTCCTTTTACAGCAAATCCGCACAAACTCATTTGCTGTTGTATAATCTACTAGAACATCATAAATCATTATTTTCTACATTAAAAGGAATTTAAACATGACATGCCATTAGCCCTGTAATTTGTTGAATAAAGGTTTTACTTGTACTTTGGAAAACCTTCCATTTTTTTAACATATGGGGTTTGCATTTAAGCTAAGAAGGGTTCAGTTGAGTTCATGTTTGTTTTCTGTCTGTGTATTGACAGTGACAGATTAGAAGTAAAGACACTTTCCTCAGTGTTCGTGAGACTACGTCTGTATGTGTTAAAAGCCTTGATTCATTTAAAGCCCCTGTTTTCCCCTAATCAGCCTCCCACTAGGAATAAGGCCCATGAATAAAGTGCAGTGAAAGACAGAAGCGTTTCTCACTCTTAAGCTAAAGTCAAGTTGTTCTGCATTAGATGCTCCAACTATTATGTTTGATATCCTGAATACATGTATGAATGATGGAGGGATAAAAGCAGATGGAAAGACGTGGGGAAACATTCTCCGTCCTAAGCTTCCCACATGGCCTGCTGTTATCCAAAGGCGGCTTATCAAACGGGAGGCATTTCTGCCACACGCGTATGGGCTGAGAGAAAACAGACCCAGCATATGGCCCCCTCATGACCCTGTCCACTGCTGCTGGTGGCAGCCGGCCCACTGCCCCTTCACAGGAAGTGTGTGTGTCCTGCTGAACTTTGCTGTCACAGCGTGGACACTTTGCAGGTCGAGCGTCTTCCATGGACACGGAAAGCACACTCCTTCAAGTTTTATATAACTTAGAGAACAAGATAGATCCAAAGGGAGTGCTCTAAAGCAAAGGCTCCATGTCTGTCAAAATTTCCTGTGCAAATTGGCTTTTAGTCACAGTGAGAATGCCTCTGGGTGCATCCCATAGTGGTCAGGGCAGCAGAGGAGGAGGATTAAAAGGGTTCATATCTCCGTATTTAGCTTTGCATTTAAAGAAAGTGGAAATGAGAGGTTACTTGAGAACATATTGTTCAGTTATGCGGTATTGAAAATGGAAGGGAGCAGATGCTGTCTTCCCTGAAGTGTCCACTGTTGTGCTGGTGATAATCCTGAGGGGCTCAGGCGCAGAGCTCTGTGCACGTGTGTGTGTGTGTGTGCCCAGAAGTGTATATTTTTGGTGTTGTTTGCTTTTGGATTCCCCTCTGCTGTGCTTTTCATCCTTGAACAACACGTCAGTCAGGTGCTCTCTGAGGACTAGAGAGCTCCAGAAGAAGACAGACACATCAGGAAATTGAAATAGAGTAGAAGTGAGGCATAATAAAGGAGGACAACATCGAGTTTTTAAGGACTTCTAACTTCCAAGCCGGCTGTCATAGCTGTGCTTGCCAGAGGGGAGAGCACCTTTAAGCATAGAGGATGAGGAACTATGTGGAGGGACTACAAAAGCAAAGCGATCCATAATAAGCAGCAGCAGCTCCGCTGCGCTTTGCCGGCTAACTTACACCAGATTGGTCCTGACAGAGGTATCTCAGAGGGGTGCACCATGTCAGCAAAGGCCTGGTGTTAAAGGAGCTTCTCTCTTACAGCTGCACACGCTCTAATAGCTGTGGATGCAACTGTTAGTTTGGGATGTTGGCCTTGAGACACTGATTTCCATAGAAATAAGGAACAAAAACAGACGACGTGATGACAGAAAAAGGCAACCTGCTCCAGCTCGCAGCTGATGTATAAATAATAAAAAACGTCGGTGGTAGTATTCTTTGAAAAACACAATAAAGCCGGGCTGACAGAAATAGGCAGTTGAATCGTTTGGTTAGCTCTTCTTTAGTGTCACTCATCTTCTGCTGCTGTCCCAGCCTCTTTTGCACACTCCAGCCCAACACGGCTTTCTGAAACGAGAGGAGAGTGTAAAGGTATGGCTGTGCATTGTTGTGCGGGAACAGAGCAGAGCCTGTTGTTTGAGCACACTGTCCTGTGGTTTGTTTAGCTGTGCACCACCCAGAACTCAAACATTAGGCTGTTTGTGCCCTCATTGACATGCAGCCAGACTCTGCAGCGTTACGCCAAAACTAACTCTCTGTATCCTTACAGGGACCGACCATGACCATCCCGCTCTGGGTGTCCTTCCTTGCACAGTAGTATGTGCACGCTCCCATGCAGGGGATGCATCCTCTTGCCTTCTTTTATTGTAGGGATGAGCATGCCCCGAGAGCTAGCCGGCTCAACTACATTTAGTTAATGTTCCGGAGGTACAGCTACTGATGATGACTCCATAATCAGGCCTCAGACACTCTTAGGAAGAGTAAAAGGTCCTTTGCATGCTTCATCTAACCAGCTCTCCCATTTTTAGGATGCAGAAAAGCTCCTTGTAGTCACTTCATTATGTGGAAATGATAATTATGCCCCAGTGGAAGCTAGCTTCACCAAAATGTATTAGAGCCCTCGCTCACTTCCACTGATAATCAAGTCCTGACTGTCCACAAATGGAAATTTTCAAAGTGTTTTGAAGGAGACCCACACATATAAGATAAGCTCATTCTTTCACCTCGTACCGTCCATCAAGAACACTTAGTCCTCACACACGCTGCTCTGCATGTGAGGAAGAGGAGACACGTATCCCCGCTGGCCGGGACTGGTTTAACATCAGAGGAGGAAGATTGTGAACTGGAAACCAGATATTTCTGTGCTGTTTTCTCGAGAGCATCTTTGGCCACAACGTGTTGCTCTGAAATAACACACACAGGAAAAAGACCTAAGCTGGTCGGGTTAGGGGCCGTGCTAGCGGATGGAAGGGCACTCACTTCTGCAGAGAGCCATCAGGTATGCAACAGGAGGGCCGGCAGATGTGCGGCAGCCCATAAACTCATCCCAGCGTCTGAGTGGCAGAGACGTGAGCCACAGACACATTTACAAAGGACAGCGCAGCTGAGGGGACAAACAGAAGCAGAGTCTTTCCGCATTACTCACTTCCTGCTCTACCTCTGACCGTGGGGAGGCCAGGGAGGAAGCGGGATAAAAATGACCCAGGCCTGAAATGACTGTGTGTTTCTTTTTATGGCGTCCTAACAATGCTGCGAGCAGTGGGAGGGACTCTGACCCACTAAATCAGAACTCAGGAATGGGAAGACACTGAGTGGGTGAGGAAAAAAAACTAAACAAAATGGCATAGTTTATTATCTTAAAAAAGCTTTTGTATCATATCTGTTGCATAGGGGTAAAATACAGAGGCACAAAAACAACGTGTACATGAGTGAGACAGAACACACATTTCACAACAGGAACGATCCAACAGAAAAAGAAGGCTTCACGTGAGAGCTTTAGTAATAAATGCAAAGCTAGTGCAGTGGCCTGTGCTGCTTTGATGGATCTAAACTAGCCCTGAGAAAGTGGATGGATGGCAAAAAAGAAAACAAGAAACCATATAAAAGGTAACAAAGGTACTCAGAAACAAAAACAACCTCCAAATGACCAGAATAAATGGGTTGATGGACTGAAAAAGTCTAGCTGGAGCTGGAGGATGGAGGGAGAATACAACTCAGAGCATCCAGCTCCTCTGTTTCACTGATCACCCAAAGCAGGATTACCGTCATTAAGTGCATCGTGTTAAGTATTCCACTGGAGAAAGAGTGTATTTTGAATAAGATGAGCCCTATTTCTCTTTGGCCGAGCTGCTGTGGAAGAACTTAAAGTTTCAGCAATCCTATCTTGGAAAGCACAGCGCTTATTACACGGCTCAATTTCCAATTCTCTCACAGGTACACACACAAACACACACTCTCAGAATACCAAATGAGGCCGCCGCACAAAACAATCTCCCAGACAGACTCTGTGATACAAAAACGCATAGAACAAACAAAAAAATAAACCAAAGACTACCAATACACGAGGTAAGCAGGGGGACTATTCACATCCTGCTTAAAAGGGAAGCAACACAACATCTCTCCCTCCATTAAAGGCCTCGCTCCATGCAAACAGAGATGTCCATCTCCATCACTGTGAGGAGGCGGCGGGGGGGTGAGATGGAGTGGCTGCAGGCCATTATACCACCCCGGAGTCTGCAGGTCTAATTGCAGGAGGAGAGCACAATCAGGTTCTGCGTGAGCCCCCGCTCTAATCACTGCAGCCAGCCCGGGTCTGCACAGTTTCAGCCTTTCATCTCACTGCTCCCCGGGAGCCTTTTTCCCTCCACATCTGGCAGAATCCGAACAAAAGTTTGAGGGGCTTTTTGGATAAAACCTGGCAACCAATCGAAATCCGAACCCCCAGCTGACCCAGGGATCTGACATCCATTATGAGGAGTAGTCCAGCTCAGCCTGAGCCTAGCTCCCTCCTGACAGCAGATCTGTGGAGCCGGGCACCTGCTGCCCCCCCGCTGCTCCCCTGCCCTCACCGGAGCAGGACGGACAGTGAGACAACAGTGAGCAGGCCATCCAGCCCGTCGGGTAAAACCGCTGGCCCTCAGTGCATGCTGGGAAACTAAGCAGGATCACTAAACTGCTGTGCTTCACATGGTTTCACACAGACGGGAAACTACAGTACAGCGCTTGTTTAGGGCCGAGTGCAACACGACACCTGGAAAAAAACCAAACAACCAAAGCTAAACCCTCTCCTCCTCTGGGAGCACGCCCCTTAAAGGCACCTCAGAGGATTTGCTGAAGGCCAGAGCCTGGAATCACCACCGTCCTGACTCCTTCAAGCCCTTCAAATGTTAAGGCTCCTTCTCCTGAATATACTGATAAGAGCATGACTTTTTACATTCACTTATATAAAAACAAAGAAGTCACCACTGGACTTTGTCAGCTGTGAAGTTAAAAAAAAAAAAGAAGCAAGGCTGAAGAGGAAAGACTCTTTGGACAAACTTAGCACAGAAAGACACGAGTGAACACCAAACCAACAAAAACAGAGTACAAGTGTTTCTGATTGTCATTTTCCAAACGGGAAACCTTCCAAGCGGAGGCTGACCAGAGCCAGGCTGAGGTCAGAGGTTCCCGTCGTCCAGCATCTTGTTGACGCCGTTGCAAATCCGCTGCAGGTGGCCGCGGTAGGCCTCCGAGGGCCCGTAGAGCGCCGCCAGGAAGTCGCAGTCGGCGAAGTGATTGAAGACGTGGTTGACCCGCGAGTGGCTCTTGGCGGTCAGGTGGCGCCTGATGGCCTGGTGGAGCAGATCCCGGCACTCGTTCAGGATGGCACTCATGACGCGGCGGTCGAAGGTGAACTCGATCTGGTGGAAGCTGACAGCCGTCATGGCTAGAGTGTGGACCTTCTTCCTGTGAGAGGGCGAGAGAGAGAGAGAGAGGGGGAGAGAGAGAGAGAGAGAGAGAGAGAGGGGGGATGCTGTCACCCTCTGGTTTTGTTCACACTAGGCTTGTCCCGATCAGGAGAAAACACCGATCCAGACTCCAGATCCAGTTTTTTTTTACTCTGATCCCACAGAGCATTAGCATTAGCATCTGTAACCACAGGTCTGTGTCCTAACCATTAAGTTGTTATCAGAGTAAATCCCTGTTCAACATGAGTCTGACCACTAAGTAAGTAGATGAATAACTTTAGACTTTAAGCCCACCTGAAGTTCTCCACCAGGATCAGCTCCTCGCCGTTGAACTGGTTGTTCCGGTAGAGCACGCCCAGCTTGACCACCATCTTGATGAGGTTCTTGATGATCTTCTGGGACTCTTTGCGGTTGCGGGTGTACTCCTTGGTGACGCGGTACAGGTCGTCCAGCACCTCGCTGCTGGTGTCGTCTATGAACAGGTTGGCCACGCTCTTGGTGGCCATCTTGCTCATCAGCTTCTTCTGGGCCTGGAGGGCCAAGCTCTTGGTGCTGAAGGAGTCCATGCTCAAATCTGGGGAAAAAAGCAGAGGATGGCGGCCTTAGCTGGTTTTACTTTACAGAAATAGTTTTCCATCCAGACATACGGCTCCAAAATGATCTGTGGAGGGCAGGTTTGTTCACTGGTTCTGTGCATTTGTCAGAAAATTAGACATGAAATAAACCTTGCCTTAGATACTTGCTTTGACTATGTACATATTACTCTGGCAGCGTGCGATGTGTGAGGTTATTACAAATAAGAGCTGTCTCTTTTATCAGATAATGAGCCGTGGCAGCTGTCAAATTAGTCCCAGCACCCCTCTGGCATGGAGCCTGCAAGGTAGTTAAAGAATGTGTCATTACTGGCGTGGGAGGGAGAAGTGGGTTCCAGCCTCACGGCGGAGGGAAGCCGGCGTGATCTGAACGCCTCATCAGCCGGTGTGAAACGCTGCCGGATCAATCAGGTACCACTCAGGTGGGAGGCCATGAGGCGACTCCATCACACACGCTCAGGAACAGGGGGGGGGGGGTCATACTCAGTATGTTCCTCTTTCTTAAAATAATGAAATAAGAAGAATCCATTTCGCTCAGCATTCCATCTGTAACCTTCACAAATCTCTGAGGATCAGCTGGGAGTACACAAGCGGAAACCGCCGACACAAAAACTGTTTTTCCACCACGGCTCGCCTCCAAATACCAAAGAAGGAGAACGAGGGAGCGTGACGAGGGGGGGGGGGCGCGACTGGAATTCCACTTTAATATTGCAGGTTTGCCATTTTCAGAGATGAACTCTGACAGAATGAGAAAACAGAGCAATGAGGCTGGAGCTGACACCTGCAAAGTCCCACAGGTGACCCCCCCACACCCCTCCCCTTTCAGTATGACTTCATGAGGCTGGTCATGAAATCCTGGACATGGAGATGGTGTGAATCATTCAGTATCTCCCCATCTCAGTCCATCAGTTCCACTACGTGAGACCTCAGGAGGAGGTGTTGTCAGAGGGGAGCTTCATCTGGTCAGTAGATCTGGACTATGCTGGTTAGTCCCTGATCCAAATGATTCATTTCAATCATCTGGTTTAAAAGAATGCATAAAATCTTAACCAAACGTTGAGGACCAAACAATGACGCCCCTCCAGAAATCTGCCCAGGATTACAGGCCATCACTGTGTCCGGTTCACTTTTTGTGCTGTCCCTGTATCACAGACTTTTTAATTATTAGGATAAGTATTATAGATTTTCACTGTTTTGTGGGATTTTGTGGTATATCAATATTTTTAAAAAATCTATTTAGGATTTATTATATATACTTGTGTCAAATTAAGCATTCTCTAGCCTAAAAAAATTAAAACAATATTTAAAAGAAGAATAAAGTATAATAGCTAAATCATATAAAAGGCATAAAATCTAAATAAAACACATAGTGTTTGGAAAATGGCCTCTTCAGCTAGTCGGCCCATGTGAGCTGGTACATGGAACACTATTGGTTCTGAAATATCCTGACGGTGGAAAATCTTAATCGTTTTTAGGTAGAATATGGTTAAACAAAGTCTCAAAAACTACTATAATTATGAATACCTGGAAATATGTCTTGATTTTCACATGGATGCCACCCTGGTACACAGGTGAATTGCCCAAGAATGAGAAAATAAAACTTAAGGAGTCATTTCCACTGACATGACGTGGACATGATGCTTTAGGTCGTTCCAAAGAGGGTGCCATGAGGATTTGTTCAGCACAGGGTTAGTGTCAGAGTTTTCCCCAATAATTTACCTAAAGTTTGCAGTGGAAAAGGCCAGCTTTGGTTTCCCAAAAGAGAAAAGGACATCTTTAGGTTCCAGCAGCAATAGCCTGATGGTTTTAATGCAGAAATGAAGAAACTCCAGCAAATTATTGCTAAGAATTTGATTTTGGAGCATTGATTTAGTCTGAAATACCACATCAGTTCATACACTCTTGTTTAAAGACAAAACCGATAGAATGTAGTCATGTTTAGGCTTTGCAACTGAAACTCAAACTGCATCAGTTCCTGTTTTGAATGAATATCAAACAATGCCTTTCCCAAACGGATAAGGGATTTCAGGAAGTGATGAAACACACACACGCGCACACACACACATACACACGCACACACAGGCTGCACCTCAGAGGAAAAACTCAACCTGGAGCAGAATAAACAGCCCGTTTGGACTTTCTTAAATCTCCTTACAAGTCTGAAATGAGAGCAATAAACCGTGTGCCATGGATAAAACGGAGCAGTTGTGTGTGAGCAACAGTTGGCGTTGGGACCGGGAGCTCCTCTCTCTGCAGTGCGTCCCCCCACCATTAACCGGAGTGGCTGGAGAGTGCTGGGGACGCGGAGCAGTGGGCCTGGTGCTAAAGCAGCCGAGCAAAAGCGATGACATTTCCCTGCTGAGCGACCTGTGAGTTTAACCACGGCCGCTCCTGGAAGGGGTCGAAGCCCACGCCCCAGCGGGCCACTTCCACTGTTCTCCCTCTCCCCGTCTGCAGTGCCTCTCCAAGAATACCAATAAGACCCCTTGGAGAGCATGCCAGCAGGAAGCCTCCCAGAAAGATGAGGGTGAGCAAAGATTGAGGAAGAAAGATGGTGTGGGTAAAAAAAAAAGAAAGAAAGGTGGAGGTGGGTTTTTTTCTTCCCATCTCTGAAACATCAAGGGAACCTACTGTGGCTGTTGAATAAAAGGTCACTTGTATAGTCTGAATGGAGCTTGCCCT